TACTGACAATATTTGACGCCATGTTTCCACAGAGCTATGTATTAGATTTATTGAACAGAAACAGCAAAGTGGACTCTATTGGCTGGCGGTCTAATGATAATGAGGATTTACATACACGATACAAGAGAGTACTTTGGCATAAGATGGCATGTCGCCATGGTGATAGCAACTGTAAAGCAGATGCAATGCAGTATTTCCAGAACTGGTTAGATAATGGAGTTGAGTAAGTAATTCATAATAATATAATTAACGAAGTTGATTTTTGGCATTCTAAGAAAACACTTCACTCGCACCTAGAAAAGCATTTTATAAGGTTTAAAACTTAAACACCGGTTCCCTCTTTTAATCACAAATTCAAGAATAGTCCTGTTTATAGTCTGCACATTCCTTCAGAAAAAAATGAAAATTGACTCAAATTTTGTCTGTTGGCTCCAAAATTATGGTTCATTTCCAGAAATATTGAAGAATAAAAGAAATAAGTGCAGACAAATTTGGACGAGAAAGTGTGGCATTCTTAGTTTTCTAATTCGACATCAATTATATAAACATTTTAGAAGGTATCGTTTATAAATTTACAGACCTCCCAATGACATGCGCAGTGTGATCTACAGTACTGGCGTAGCAGAAAGCGATTCCAATACATGGGATGTATTATGGGATATTATTCAGACTCGTCCCCAACTGCAAGACGATGAAACAGCACTACGGAATGCCTTGACTCGGTCTCCAGAACCATGGGTGTTAAACAGGTGGGTACCATCATCATTATTCGCTTAGTGGGTGGTTTGACATATTGTCTTTGAGATAGATATTCTCGTTCCTGGATTAATTTTATTCGAACAAGTAGATCTTTCATACCACAAGCTTTTGTGTCAAACTGCGAGAAACATTTTGTTCTTCCATGAGGGTGAACACTTAATTCTGACTGTGGTATTTCTATTGAAGTTTGTAAAATTGTATTTGAAAACAATTATAGATATCAATAAGTCACTCCAGCTGTGATCTGGCAACGGCACCATTTTGAAATGATTTCCGATCTTCTGGTGTTTCCAGATACGTCATTTTGTTGACTTCAACGGTTCATGATAAACGCATCATGTGCATACAAATAAATGAACGTTAAATAAACGCAACTTTTCAAGCAAGTTTTTCAAATTAAAGGGCGGTGGTCGTCGCGCAGCGCGTGTTCGAATTTAAAAACAATGTATTTTCCACGC